AAAAAAGCTACTATTAATGCCGTAGTTAACTTTTCCAAATTCGAAAAGTGTAGTGCTAACTTGACACACGTAAATATTAGTTGCGTTCCCTAACTCACAAGAAGTTGCAAGAATTTACAGGAATTTACCAGAAAGCGTTCCTTTGGCTGTTGAGTATTTCTCACTAGACAAAGATCAACACAGTGAGCTTGTTAACTTTCGTTTTGTTACCAGTTCGAAAACGTCATATCTCAAAAAAAATTTCAAGAACGCTCTACTCCAGAATTTGATTGAAGAACGCCCTATTTTAGAATTTTATTGAAAAACACCTTATCTCAGAATTTTGTTGACGAACGCCCCATCTCAGAATTCGGTTCAAAAACGCCCTATCTTAGCTGAAAATACATAGAAAATGTGCTGAGATAGGGGGTTTTTGAATCGGCTGCTGAGATAGGGCGTTTTCCAATCAAATTCTGAAAAATGGCGTTATTTAATAAAATTCTGAAGTAGGGCGTTCTCGAAAAGCTTTCTGAAGTTAGGCGTCCTCAACTTTCAAGTTATGACGTTAAGTTAATAAAATAAATAAACAGTTTCTACACTTTTGTATTAGTATTTCGTGATGCAGCTAATTTGCCCCTAACTTGCGGGAATATGCAAAAAAAAAACAGGCCTTATATCTTACCTTTTTTGCAGACTTTTGTGGAACCGGTTTGGTTGTTACAGCTTTGGGAGCAGGCTTTTCATCCTCAGAACTGTCTTCGCTGGAAGACTCATCTTTCTTCGCTTGTGGTTGGGTTTTCTTTACTACTGCAGGCGCAACTTTTTTTGCTGGTTTGGCCTCTTCTTCATCGCTGTCACTATCTTCTGAGCTATCCTCCGATTCAGCTTTCTTAGCAGCTGCTTTGATCAAAGGAGTTTTGGGGACAGGCTTTGAATCTTCCTCGCTACTATCTTCTTCACTTGATTCTTGCTTTTGCTTCTGTGGTACCTTAACATTAGCTGGTTTGGCTGGTGTTTTTGCTTCTGGTTCTTCGTCAGAGCTATCATCACTTGTTGAAGTCTGGAAAACAAATAGCAGATTATTGAATATAAATACTTGAGAGGCATTTGGTAAATTAGTCTATTTTTTTTTTTTTTTTTTGTAATGCATTTTTATGCATGACGTGTTTGTGCCTCGTAACTTGTCTCAATATGTAAAAAAAACAGGCTTACTTTTTTTGCGGCTTTTTGTGGAGCCGGTTTGGTTGCTACAGCTTTGGGTGCAGGCTTTTCATCCTCCGAACTGTCCTCGCTCGAAGACTCGTCTTTCTTTGCTTGAGGTTTCTTAACTACTGGTGCTGCGTTTTCTTCTTCCGAACTATCATCAGAGCTAGATTCTTTTGCTTTAGGT